AGCAGCTCTGTGGGAGCGAGGCCCGTGCGGTTCTTGTGGCCCGGCGGCCTAGTGCCGTGCGAGTGAAGAGTTGTCTGAGGATGGGCTCCGGCGCTGTCCTGGGGAAAAAAGAGGAAAACTTACCTTTATTCCCCCGCTCGTCACGGGCGTTGTGCTCAACATTCCGTGGCCAGAATTGATTTCATGTCTCATACCAGCAGTTGCAAGGTGTCCAGCTGTGGGCTTCTCATTTGCTTTTTTCGTCAGGTCATCAGACCTTTTTAATATGTGAAACTGGGCACTTTTGTTTTAATATTTAGATTGCCTCTGGGTTTTTTTTTTTTGGTATTTTATTTATTTTTATTTATTTTTAATTTTTTAATAGTTTATTGTCAAGTTGGTTTCCATATAACACCCAGTGCTCATCCCCACAAGTACCTCCTCCATGCCCAGCACTTTTTAATTCCAGAGGTGTGGACTGAGGGTCTGTTTCACATAAACCAAGAACTCTTCTAGGCCCCGGTTAGAGCAGGGAACCCTGCAGGCCAGGGCTGTGCTCTCCCGGAGCTTGCGTCCTGCTGAGGGTGACACCAAGCCCTGTGGGTGTAGCTTAGGGACAGGAGGGGTGGTGAGCTCTGCCTCAGAGTTGGGTAGGGGCCTCTGGGGAGCGGGGGGTGGAGGGAGGGCGGGGTAGTTCCCAGGAGCAGGAGGGGGTGGCGACTTTCCCTCTGGCCTTCAGCAGCCTGACCTTTCTATTTTATTTTATTTTATTTTATTTTATTTTATTTTATTTTATTTTAATTAATTAATTTTATTTTATTTTATTTTTTAATGTTTTTATTTACTTCTGAGAAAGAGAGACAGCGTGAGCAAGGGAGGGTCAGAGAGAGAGGGAGACACAGAATTGGAAGCAGCTCCAGACTCTGAGCTGTCAGCACAAAGCCCGACACGGGGCTCGAACCCACGAACTGTGAGATCATGACCTGAGCCGAAGTCAGACACTCAACCGACTGAGCTATCCAGGTGCCCCATGACCTTTATTTTTAATGGTTATTTATTTATTTTGAGAGAGAGAGATTGTGCTTGAGAGCCGGGGAGGGGCAGAGAGAGAGGATCCCAAGCAGGCTCCACATAGTCACTGAAGAGCCCAACAGGGGGCTCCATTCCACAAACTGTGAGGTCATCATTACCAGAGCCAAAATCAAAAGTTGGATGCTTAGCCGACTGAGCCACCCAGGTGCCCCTGTAGATCTTTAGAAACTCACCTCTGGGGGCACCTGGGTGGCTCAGTCATTTAAGCTTCCGACTTTGCCTCAGGTCATGATCTCATGGTTTGAGCCCCGCGTCGGGCTCTGTGCTGACAGCTCAGAGCTTGGAGCTGCTTTGGATTCTGTGTCCCCGCCCCCCTCTCCCCTCCCCTGCTTGCACTCTGTCTCTCTCAAAAATAAATATTTAAAAAAATTTTTAATTAAAAAAAAAAAAGAAACTCAACTCTGTCTAACAGAGTCAGGGGCGGGACAGCCAGACTAAGGCAGGAACCTGAGAGTTCCTGCTGGGGAGGAGAGGCCAGCAGCAGGTGAGGGGCATGCCCAGGGCATCTCTTCTCGGTAGTGGGACCGTCCATGCACTGTGGGGTGTGAGCCTTCTTGTCTGGCCTCCAGACACTGGCCTGTATCCCTGGGAGCTGAGTGAGAATCACTGCATAGGAGCAGAATGGGGGGAGTATGGAAACTGGTGGTTTGGCACTGTACGTACATGAGTTTTCCCACTATTTTTTTTTTTTCTGCATGCACTGATATATATATATATATATATATATATATATTTTTATTTTTGGTGTGTTTTTGTGATTCTGTGACATGTTGGCACCTGTACAGGTTTGTGTTAGTGGTATTATTGTTGAGATGCAGATGGTAGTTAACATCACACAGAGGACTCCCTGGGGCCTCCTCTGTGGGGCTGTATACTCCTCCCTTCCCCAGCCCCTAGCCACCGCTTGTCTGTTCTCCAAACCGGGCATTTTGTCATTTTGAAAACGTTACCTACCTGGAATTACAGAGGATGAACTGTGAGGGGCCAGCTTTTTCACTGGGCGCAGTGCTTTGCACAGTGGCTGCTGTATCAGTATCTCATCCCATTTTGCTGCACAGCTGTGATGTCATTTGTTTAACCACTCTCTGTCGAAGGACATTGAAGTCTTCAGCTGTTACAGATAGAGCTGCCGTGAGCACTCTGTGCCAGTTTCTGTGTGAATGTGAGTGCCCACTGCTCCTGGATACACACGGGGCTCGATCCCACAAACGGTGAGATCATGATCTGAGCCCAGATCGAGAGTCGGACCCTCGATTGACTGCGCCACCCAGGAGCCCCCCTCATGGCAGTTTTATTTTAAGTATATTTATGTTGAGAGAGTGAGTGGGGGAGGGGTAAAGAAAGGGGGGGGGAGAGAGAGAGAGAGAGAGAGAGAGAACGCGAACGAGCCTGATGCCGGGCTTGAACTCATGAACTGTGAGATCATGACCTGAGCCAAAGTCAGACATCTGACTGACAGCCACCCAGGTGCACCCCCCATGGCAGTTTTCATTTGCCTTTTGCCCTAATGACTAATGATGTTGAACATCTTTTCACACTTATTTGCCAGCTATGTATCTTTAGCAAAGTGGGGTTTTTTTGTTGTTTTTTGTTTGTTTAATTTTTCTTAGTTTTTTGCCCATTTCTAAGTGGCTTGTTCTTCTGTCACCTTTAGATAGACCTTTATAGTCTGGATATGAATCCTTTGTTGGATATGTGATTTATAAAAGTTTTCTCTTAGAAAGTGAACAAAGACGGGGTGCCTGGGTGGCTCAGTCGGTTGAGTGTCTGACTTCAGCTCAGGTCATGATCTCACGGTTCATGGGTTCCAGCCCCATGTCAAGCTCTGTGCTCAGAGCCTGGACCCTGCTTCAGATTCTCTGTCTCCTCTCTCTCTTCCCTCCTCTGCTCACACTCTCTCTCTCTCTGTGTCTCTATCTCAAAATAATAAATAAACATTAAAAAAAAAAAAAAGGTGAACAAGGCAAAAAGGTGGCCTGTCTTTTTAGTGCCTTAACAGGTTTCTGGCAGAGCAGATGTTTTCAGTTCTGATGGTGAGTATGTTTGGAAGGTGAGAGCTGATGGCTTAGCAGATAGGCTGGGTGAATTCTGTTTCTGGCCTGAGCAACTGGGTGATGCCATTCACTGCCAGGGGAAGCTCTGTAGAGAAGCTGGTGTGAGGTCTTATTACAGATGCCCAGTGTGAGTGCAGAGGGGGGCATCAGGAAGGCAGTGAGAAATTAGGTCCAGAGGGCAGGAAATGTGGATTTTTTAACCATTTGGGAGTGTGTAGAGGGGAAGGTCATGGGCCTACAGGAGCTTGTCCAACCAGTGGATGCGGACGGAGAAACATAGAGGCTGGACTCTGAGTCTGGGGCGTTGGACATAGAGTTGTAAGGGAGTCAAGTCCAGTATGGATTGAGTAGCAGCCCCAAGAGATGGGAACAGGGAAGGGGTGCGTACTGGGTGTCAGGAAGGAGGCAGTCACTAGGGCTCTTCTCTGTCCACTGAGGCTGCAGGACTGACTGGTGCACCTTGTGAGGAAGTGAAGGGGCAGGGAACCTCACTCATGTCAGTGCCTCCTGAGGAAGGGCGTGGTGGGGGAGGAAGCCCAGGCAGCAAGTGTCAGAACCCTGTCAGGTGGCATCCTTTCTAGCCCTCAGCTAGAGCCTTGGAAGTACTGCCTTGGAGATGTCACTGAAAGTGGGAGGGATATGTGCCCTTCACATTCTGGATCTTTCCTTGGCAGCACCCAGGTAGGACAGTGGCAAGCAGAGCTGACCACCAGGATTGGGTACCCCAGGATGGACACACAGAGGTCAGCTGCGTACCATCAACTGGTCATTTATATACACACAGGTCAGGTGCTGTTTAACTGGGTGTGAGATCAGGCATAGACCGTGAATCTGTAGGGCTGTTTTTAAATTTTAATCTTTAAAGATATTTGGCTTGCATTACTTTTTTTTAATAAATATACTTGAGATATGTCAAGGAAGCTATATTAAAGGTGAACCAGAGTACTGAATTAAAGACTTTTTCTGCTGAAATTTAATATCTCTGGCTCTTGTTTGCTCAGTGAAAAAGGTGATAGAATTTTTCAAAAGGAATGATTTTTGCTTCTTAATTAAGAAACAGCCAAAATTGCGTTGCTTAATAATCCAGCTATATTTGTGTATTTATTTAAAAAATAGTAATGCAGGTTATGTCACATTTGAATTTTTTACTTATATTTGGCTGGTCTAAAGAACATACTTTGGGGGCACCTGGGTGGCTCAGTGGGTTAAGCGTCCGACTTTAGCTCAGGTCATGATCTCATGGTTCGTGGGTTCAAACCCTTATTCGGGCTCAGTGCTGACAGCTCAGAGCCTGGATCCTGTTTCAGAGTCTGTATCTCCCCTTCTCTCTGACCCTTCCCTGCTCATGCTGTCTCTCTCTCTCTCTCTCTCTCAGAAATAAATAAAACATTAAGAAAAAAAAAAAAAAAGAATATACTTTGTTGGGGTGCCTGGGTGGCTCAGTAGGTTAAGCATCTGACTTCGGCTCGGGTCACGATCTTGAAGTTCATGGGTTTGAGCCCCGTGTCAGGCTCTCTGCTGTCAGTGCAGAGTCTGCTTGGGATTCTCTGTCTCCATCTCTCTCTGCCCCTCCCCCACTTGTACGAACATTTTCGCTTGCTCTCTCAAAAATAAACAAATATTAAAAATTTTTAAAAACACTTGTTTACTAGTGTTTTAAAGTCATGAAATGGCTTTTTGTGGCTTCATTCGTTAAGTGGCTTGTAACACACAGGGTGAGGTTGAAGCGGACTTCTCAGTGGCTTCCCCACCACAAGATGAGGCTCCAGTGCGTTTGAGGGCACTTGGGCTCTTTGTCTTGCTCTAGGTGGGACACCCTGTCCTCTGGTCCTGCAGACAGATGCTGACAGTGGCTTTTTTTGTTTTTTTTTTCAGGTGCACGTTTAGATTCCCGAGCACAAACATCAAGATCACGTTCACTGCCCTGTCCAGTGAGAAGAGGGAGAAACAGGAGGCTCCCGAGTCCCCGGTGAAGCCCGTGCAGGCCCACATCTCGCCCTTGACCATCAACATTCCAGACACCATGGCCCACCTCATCAGTCCCCTTCCCTCCCCCACAGGAACCATCAGGTACAGCAGCTCATGTGGTGGGCGGGGTCACCGGAGGGTCAGGTTGGGGGCACACGCATGCTGAGATGTACTTGACCACGTCTCGATTCCATTCCTTACCTCCTGCCTTGGGACTTTCAGAAGCTGTCATAAGTCACAGTCATGGGCAGGAGCTCACAGCACCCAGCGCCCACTCCTTTCCCGGGTGGACCCTTCACCTGCCATTCAGTTTTTGAACACCCTTTGCTCCCAGGTTCCTGCATATGAAACACAGTTCCCAAACGTTCCTGACCTTCACTTATGGACTCTCTGTATTTGAGTGTAAGTTGAGGGGGCAGGTGATATCCTATGTTGGTCTAAACTCTGAGCTGTTTTCATTTGCATTTTAAGTTCTTTTAGTTTGTTGCAGTTTCATGTACACTGAGGACTTGTGCTTTGCATCCATGAGTTTCACCACAGTGAGGCACCAAACTTGTGTTTGTCATGATGTCCTAAGAGAGACTGGGTGCTTCAGGGAGTGGAGGTCAGTGGCTTCAGGGCACTCTCTTGGCACACACCCTGGAACGCAGAGCACAGTGGTCAGGTCTTGCTGAGCTCTCAGAAGACAGCAGCTGAGGGTCAGGTCAAGAACAGTCATGGAACCCCACAGACGTGCGTGCTTAGAGCAGGCGAGATCACCACGTGTGCCGGACGCGGAGCTCTGTGTGGTGCGGGCAGGGCTCAGATGCGTCCGTCTCCTGGGGTTCTGTTGGCGCTTAGAAGAGGGGATAGTGTGTATTTGGGGTGTCTTCTTAGGTGTGAGTGCTATGGAGTGTGGAATGGACCCCTGTACTGCTCTCTTGAGTCAGGCTTCTGCTGTTCGGGTCTGTCCCGGCTGACGCTGCTGTGGCAGATACAGGGAGGGTGCACGGGGGACTAATGTCCAACCTCCCAGTCAGATGCTTCTGTTTCTTATCTTAAAAACAAGTATTGGGGGTGCCTGGGTGGCTTAATCAGTTAAGTGTCAGGATTTGGCTCAGGTCATGATCTTGCAGTGCTTGAGTTCAAGCCTCACGTCAGGCTCTGGGCTAACAGCTTGGAGCCTGGCACCTACTCCAGATGTTATGTCTCCCTCTCTCTCTGCCCCTTCCCCCCGCACCCCCCCTTCTCCTTCTCTCAAAAATAAACGTTAAAAAAAATGAGCATCAGCAATAGGACTTCTAGAAGGATCTGTGGTGTGTAAGTGGAGGGAGTGGAGTGGACTGGCTATGGCTGGTGCTATCAGCTTCAGGCCCCTCCCTCCTCTGCCTCTTCCTGGGGCTTCACTGCTGAGGAAGCTGCCTTTGTCTCTCCCATGTGGTGGAATTTGCATGTGACTGCATGGACCAAATAGCTAGCAGTGGACGGCAGCCACGCGGCCAGATTTCTGTTCAGCAGAATCCACAGAGGAAGAGGAGAAAGCTGTTTGCCCATGTGGGATAGCAGCCCATAGTGGAAGCCGCAGCCTTGGAGACGGGCACTCCCACGCACGAGATGGGTGGCCTGGGCACTCGGGGAAGGGGGTGTGGTCAGAGAACAGACCCTGAGCCAGCCTGCCCTCCCCTTCTGCCCCATCTTCATCCTGGTTTCCATGCTCGTCCCCCCTCCCTCATGGCCGGTGCTGACCAATGTAGTGCCCTTCCTGGGTGAGACAGCGGGGTGGGACTCCCAACTGCAGATGGCTTGTGTGCAGAGTAGATTTGCCTTTTCTTTTTCTTTCTCTTTTTCCTTTTCCTTTTCTTCTTCCTTTTCTTTCCCTTTCTCTCTCTCTTTTTTTAAAGCTTTATTTATTTTGAGAGAGCGTGCGCGCATGCACATGTGTATGCAAACAAGGGAAAGGGGGAGAAAGAATCCCAAGCAGGCTCCACACCAGATGCGGGGCTTGAACCCAAGAACTATGAGATCACAGCCTGAGCCAATATCAAGAGTTGGATGGGTGCTCAACCAACTGAGCTGCCCAGGCGCCACCAGACTTGCCTTTTCTAAACTCAGCATCCACTCCACACAGCCCCTCCCCTCCCCATGTCAACACTTGTTAAACGCTGGTTAGTTTTCAACATCGAGAGGTGTAAGTTCCTTTAGTGCAGTCTGCTGCTTTTCTCCCCGTGGCCTGTTCGCTGAGTGAGTGCGTGCACTCACGGTATATCCCATGGTTGAGAGCCCAGTAGTGTTGCACAGGGCGCTGCCCAAGAGCATGTCACCCCCCCACTTCCTTCTCCTGCTCCACGCTCAGTTCAGGCTTTTGGAGGTAGCTGTTCCTTATGTATTTTTTCCAGAAATTTTCTGTATATATGTAGTACTTGTCTTTTTTCCCCCAAAATGCAACTAATCCCTAACCTCACACTCGTATGTAACTTGATACATTTCTTAGCCGGTCTTGCTTTTGTGTCCTTCCACTGCGGCAGGGCATACTCCTTTGTGAAGTATGCTCCTGCATGAAACGGGGACAGGGTCTCAGATGTGCAGCTTGGCAAATGAGCATAGTCGAGTGGGAATGGCCTCTCGTCATTACACAGATCCAGAAGCAGCACCCCACCCCTGGTTTGTGAAAAAAAGCACATGTTTAGACATGGGTTCCTGGGGCTCCTGGCTGGCTCAGTTGGTAGAATGTACAGCTCTTGGTCTTGGAGTGGTGAGTTCGAGCCCCATGTTAGGGCTAGAGTTTACTTTCAAAATAAAAAAAAGGGGCGCCTGGGCAGCTCAGTCGGTTGAGCATCGAACTTCAGCTCAGGTCATGATCTCACAGTTCGTGAGTTCAAGCCCCGCGTCGGGCTCTATGCTGACAGCTCAGAGCCTGGAGCCTCCTTCCGATTCTGTATCTCCGTCTCCCTCTCCCTCTGCCCCTCCCCAACCAGTGCTAGGTTTCTCTTCCTCAAAAATAAACAAACATTAAAAAATAGATAAATAGGGGTGCCTGAGTGGTTCAGTTGGTTAAGTGTCCAGCTTTAGCTCAGGTCATGATCTCGTGGTTCATGAGTTCAAGCCCCACAATGGGCTCTGTGCTAGCAGCTAGGAGCCTGGAGCCTGCTTCAGATTTCATATCTCCCTCTGTGTGCCCTGTCGTGCCATGCTGTCTCTCAAAAATAAATATATGTTTAAAAATTTTTTTAATAATAAAAAATAAATAATTATTTTTTAATGGGTTCCTGTGTTTGTGTCCTAATTGACTGACACATGTGCCCCAGGGCCTGATGCCATCTGCGTCTGTGTCCATGGCCCCATCCCTGTCTGAGCTTCCTAGGCTTGGTCGGGCTGCCTTTCTCTCTCTCCAGATTGTCCCTGACCTTTCTGGTGTAGCTGGAGGCCATGTCGTAGGTGGGAAGGGAGTGAGCGGAGCATGTGCTCTGTGTCCCTTTGCCAGGCTGGAGACCTGGAGCCATTACATATGGCTCTGTGTCCTTGGTAAGTTCCAGAACCATCCTGAGCCTCAGTTTCCTCACTGGTGAAACAGATGGACCGCCACCACCTCCTTTGAGAGTTTATGATTAAGGTAGCACCTGTGGAAACAGGTAACTGATTTGCACATGTTTCCTGGAGTGATCTTAAGTTTCGCAGAGAATTAATGAGTCCGTTTTCCATATAAAATGCTAATATTCTAATTTTAAAGTTTGTTTTCCTTGAAACCAGAACGAGTCATTGAAGCACAGTGTGATGTATGTTCTGTAATAGACTGATTGCAGCCACCTTTTCCTGTCCACAGTGCTGCAAACTCCTGCCCATCCAGCCCCCGGGGAGCAGGGTCTTCGGGGTACAAAATGGGCCGTGTGATACCAGCTGACCTCAATTTAATGGCCGACAACTCGCAGCCAGAAAATGAAAAGGAAGCTTCTGGTGGAGACAGCCCAAAGGTAAATGTTTTATAGTCTTGAAACAGAACCCGGGGCCATCACGTGGCCAGCTATCCTCACTTTGTTGTCTGCGCATCTAGTAATGTCCCGGCCAGGCCTTTGGAGAAGTGCGTATCTGTGTGGATCCAAGCTGGTTGTGGGGTCCCTTCCTGTCGAGCGTGTTCTTGGGTTGGGATCTCATAAAATGAATTCTTCCTGTCATTCACCATTGGGTGGGTGCTCCCCAGCGTCGGCTGTGGGCCCAGGTGCTGAGAGCCGAACAGGCTAGGTGATAGGCGCTGTTCCCGGGGTGCCGTCCTGCTGTTCCAGACGCTGAAGATTGCACGAGCACTCGTATCTGCATGTACACGTGCACACGTGTGCCCAGGAACACACTCTCTTGGGACAGTGGTTGCTGAGCATGCTGTGACTCTGCATGTCCCTGCATGGTTTTGTTCTTTGACCCAGTATTGCCCCTTCTAGGATTTTGTCTAAAGAAAATGGCAAAAATCTCAAACAAAAATTTATGTAAGACAGAAAATGGAAAGCAGCCTAATTGCCCCCTGAGAGAGTTCAAGCAAGGAAATTGCAGCATCGTCACTGATAGGGAAGTGTTGTGGACTTAATGCTCGGTGAAAAGGAATAAAGCAGCGCATAGTGTTAGTTACATCTGGTGTATAAAATGTGACGCATTTGCTCAGTGGCGCACAGCACGGCCACAGAGCACACACGGAGTGGTGCACGCCTGTCTGCTGTGGCTTGGAGCCCCGCACAGGGCACGCTGGGCAAGCGAGGGGACACCGAGGAGCATCCTCTGTGGGGTTCCGTGTTGATGCAGTTGCCTATTTAAAATCAGACAAAACTAAATTGTTTTATTTCAGGAGGTGTTAAATGCTAAAATGTTTAATTACAGCAAGATTGTCATTACGATAAAATGTCAGAGGTAATGGCAGCTTTTCTGGGGGTAGAGGCCACAGGCCCAGGGGCCTAGGGAAGCTTCTGGGATGTGGGCGTGTTCTCTCTCGACTTAGTGTTGGGTGTTTGGATGTTCCCTTCACATTTGTTTTCAGCCGATGAGGATGTATCATGGGTTTTCCTATCTGTGTTACATTTTTTAGTAAAAAAGTTTTTAGAAATGTGTAGAAAAGAGGGAACCAGGAGACGCAGCAAGTGGCATCAACACAACGAGGAAGGCTTTGTGCGCTGCACCTGCCGCCTGGAGGAGTCTCCTTTCTGCCAGCCCACTGGGCCCTCTCCAGAGCCTGCCTGCTCAGGCTGGTTGGGGCAGATCCCAGCCCAAGTGCTCAGGAAATACTAGCTGTTTTCACGTGGGGCCAGTGTCTCTGCACAGAACACGTGCCCGCCGCCACCGTCAGGACCGATCATGGCCTGGGCAGCCAGGGCCCGCGCCCCTTGTCTCTCAGTCCTCTGCTCGTCTGTTCATTCCATCCATTTGTGTTTATCCCTAAACAATGTCTTAATTGCTTATTTTTAAACCTCATATAATGAGTATCATCTTGAGTCTGACCGTGTTTTAGGTTGTGTTGCCCCGGACTTTACTGAGGTCAGGCAGCTCTTTTCTTTTCCTTATGTTTTTCGTTTTTGCCATCTGGAGTTTTTCCTTATGTGGTTGTTAAACATTCTTTTTTACACTACTTGTGCATTTTTCCATTTGTTTCTTCTAAATTTTCCAAATGCTTCTCAATTTATGTTACTTTCATAGTAAAGAAAACTGAGCATTTTCACAGGAACACTTAAAAGCAGAAACAATCCCAGGGGCACCTGGGTGGCTTAGTTGGTTAGGCGTCCAACTTCAACTCAGGTCTCACTCTCACGGTTCGTGGGTTCAAACCCCACGTTGGGCTCTGTGCTGACAGCTCAGCATTCTGTGTCTGCCTGTCTCTCAAAAATACACTTAAAAAAAAAAAAGAGGGCACCTGGGTGGCTCAGCTGGTTAAGTGTCTGACTTTGATTTTTGGTCATGATCCATGGTTTGTGGGTCCGAGCCTCGCATCGGGCTCTCTGCTGTCAGCACAGAAACCTCTTCAGGTCCTCTGTCTCCTTCTCCCTCTGCCTTCCCTCCACTCAGTCTTTTTCCCTCGCTCAAAAATAAACATTACAATTTTTTTGTTTTAAATAAAAGCACAAATAATCCTAAATTCTAGTAAATTTAGTAAAAATTTTGATTACTTCAATAATCTCTCTCTTTTTTAACAGGATGATTCAAAGCCACCTTATTCCTATGCACAATTAATTGTACAAGCAATTACGATGGCTCCTGATAAACAACTTACTCTAAATGGAATTTACACTCACATTACTAAAAATTATCCATACTACCGGACTGCGGACAAGGGCTGGCAGGTAAATCCATTTCGATTTGTTATGAAATAGTTCTGTCTCACATCAGTAGATGCTGATTGACAACTGAGAGGAAAACTGAGCTGCTTTCTTAAACTTGAGCACAGAGCAAAGGTAGAGCAAGGTGAAGGAGACCCTCTTTTGCTCAGGGAGGAGGATGTGTTAGAGGCCCCTGGCCCCACATTCTGACCTTCTCCACACACAGCAGGAGGAATAGTGGTTCTAGGAGAAAACCTCAGCCTGTGGTTACTACGGTCACTGTCCCCACAGATGGGAAAGGCGCGGGTTGTTTGAGATGTTTCTCTTCGACCATTACACTTAGCTTCCTATGTCTGAAGAGAGTGAAAAACCCAGCTCGTCCTTTACCTCTCTGTCTTCCTTATCTGCGTCTGCTGACGTACGTACCTTCTTGAAGTTTGCAGAGATGGTTTTCAAACTGTTTTATCAAAGAACTCTTTCTTCAAAAGACTTCTTCTCCCGTTGGGCAGTATATAAAAGCCGGCAAACGTGATGCTGCCCTGCGCTGGGGCAGCCTATCTGCTTGTGTGCCTGTCCTTTCAGATCATTCCTGGGCTGTCCGGAACCTGGCCCTCCTCAGAGAACTCTTGAATGTTAGTGTGTAACTATCCTTGTTTAGCTTTTAAATTTTGTTTAACTTTTAAACTTTTACATTGTGTAGTTTTTTCTTCTGTGTATCTGTGTTAGATGCGTCTACTCACTGGCTGTATGGTAGAGCCTGTCTAATTCAGACCGTATGGGAAAGGCAGGTTTGAAATACAGAATTTTAAAAGCATAGTAAAAGAAGAAATGTATGTTTACAGTGCTTGAATTCACTAAGTAACAAGGAATGGTAACAGTATTCCTTTAGGCACAGTGAGTAAATAAATGATCCTGAGAAAAATGTGTCTGCTGAACCCTAACCGTGGGTGGGGGTGGGGGTGGGACCATTTTCTTTGTAATGGCAGGCAAAAAGTTTTTTCTTCTATCTGCAGACACATAAACATGTTCTAATAAAAGTAGTCCACCCAAATCCTGAACATTTTCTGTGTCCGGGGTCTTAGTCACTTTGATTGTGGAAGGTATAAAATAAGACTTAGCCTTCCTTTCTGGGCTGTGGCATCTGCACCCCGCCTGCCTCCCTGTGCACAGCGAGGTGGCATTTCTTAGATGGCAGCGAGGAAAATGCTGGATTCGGAGAACCCTCTGATATCCAGCCACCTGGCAGATCTCTTCAACACATTGGACAAGAAGTCCCTGCAATACTGACCATTTTAATCGAGAACAGTGAGGTTGTGCTTCAGGTAAAATGTCAAACAAAAGAAACAGAACCAGATGATCCTCTGGGTCCGTTTCTGGCGATTGTTCCTGGAACACAGCTCCCTGTGTGTGTGGGCAGATGGAGTCTCCTCTCAAAGAATGGGGTGGGGTTACGTGCAGCCCGTTACATGCAGAATTCTGGGGACTGGAAGTGCCGGTTAGCTGGGTTTAATGGGAGCGAGTGTTTCTGAACAGCCTGGCCAGACGTGCGGCCAGATGTGTTTCTGTCTGTCCTGACATCCATGTGCTCTCTAACAGCATATGGGCTTCTGGCCTCAGGACTAAGGCCAGCTCTCAGGGGCGGCCTCCTCCAGGCTTCAGTGTCGTGGGGAGTCAGATCAGGCGTCAGCCCCACATGCACGGAGTGCTCCTGGCGCCCAGGAGTGACTTCCCAGCGCCCTGAGAGCCAAGAGTCACAGGTGTGGCTGCCGCAGGGCAGGCTCCCCTCTCTGTTCAGGGTTCATTCACACTGCTTTTTATTGAAATGTCTTTACTGTCCAGATCAAGGCCCAGAAGGGTGACTCTGCACCTCTTTCCTGTGTAAGGCCGCTCCTGGGACGTTTTACACCTCCTGGCTCCAGTGTTTTAGCAGAAAAGAGATTCTGCTGCATCCCTCTCTTTAATTTTTGGACATGCGCTCCCAGTTTCTTTTAGCTGTTCCCAGTATTGACCCACACGTGTCCTTTTTCTGTCCTGAGATTCTCTGAGCTGCCTTCCCAAAGTGACTGCGCTTAAAGTCTCTGTATGGATGAGACCTTCTTCCCATGTCCTTACTCTTGGCTTAAAACAAAAAAGCCTTTCCATTTTGCAACCTTTTTTCATAAAAACCAGGTCGGTTTTCTTTGCATGGAGAGTAGGGGGGTGGAGCGTAGTGGGGAACACAGTCACCTAGAACAGCCCATTTTAAAAATGTGGGTTCCAGACTGGCTCCTCCCCGCCCCTGTGGCGTGAGGGAGGTGGCTGTGCAAGGAGAATAGGACCCGAGGGCTTGAGCCCCACGCTCTGATCAGCTCCTCAGGGACCTGCATGGACACGTGCCACAGTGCCTCTTTTGCACGCCTGAATGAAGTCCACAGCTGCCTTCCAGGCTTGCTCTGGGTATTTTGCACTGTCTGCCTTTGGCAAGGCTTCTTGACTGTTTCAGAGGAAACTCTGGGATAAAACAAATTGTGACCGTGTCTGGAAAGATGGCACATTTTTTTCCTTTGGTTGGGTATTTATGCCAAAATGTTTTCTTAGCGATTTATAATTGTAATTTTACCCAGCCTAGAATTAAGTATTTGTTGTAACTAGAACATTTGAATTCTAGGCCTTTGGGCCCCCGAGAGGACCAGAGCTGGTTTCTGAAAGGAGAGGGCGTGCTCTGGGCCCCTCCCCCCCATACCTTGAACTCTGCTTCTGGAAGTTACCTGACACGTTCTGTTCTCATCAGTTTCTTTACAAGTCCTTGGTAGAGGGAGTGTTCTGTGAGCAGGGCCGACAGAAACTAGAGTCTGGGCGGGAGCCCCGGGGGTGCTCACGGAGGACGGTGACCAGCTCTGGGCCTTCCCTCCGGGTCGGCTGCAGGACGGGGCTGCCTTCAGGGACGGGAGAGAGGAGGGACTGGATCCCAGGAAGGAGAGGTTCTGGGAAGTAGCCTTGATGAGAGGAGGGTTAGGGGGGAAGAGTACGTGCTCGATATTGCAGACCCTTTTCTTCCTGTTTAGATTTAAAGAGTAATAACCTGCCTTTTCTCTGAATATAATAACTTCTGAATCTGTAGAAGCCAAGCCAGCGTGGTTTTAGTGTATGTAGCTTGGCTTGATCAAATTACAAAGGCCTTAAATGACCTTAGAAATATAGTTACTTTATCTGTGTCTGCATTAAGTATCTCTTACTACTTGCGCATCATTTCTGGTCTTGTTGGCTGGAAAATCACAGCCTCTTTGTTCCATAGCCTTGTTGTGAGTGGAGAGGGCGGGTAGACCTATTGTGATGGCGCACAGCGTAGCTTCTGTCACAGTTTCAGGACAGAAAATAGCAACTCCTTGATCTAGGAACTTCCGTACAGTGTGTCCGTGGCAGGAGGGTCATGGAACCGCAGCCCCCTGGTCCTGTTCTTCTTTATCAGTGGGAAGAAATACTGGTGCCCCAGTCCCCTGAAATGGCACTTCCCGCCTCCAGACTCCCACTGAGCCAACTTCCCTTTTCCTCGTAGCAACACGTACATTAAGCTACTCGGTGCACTAGAGTCTTCACGTGGGGGCTCACCACCTCCCGTGTTCTTCCCTGCGGCTTGGCGGCCTCTTCTAAGCTGCCCAAGTGGCCAGGTTCCCAGAGGACAGTCAGAGGACCTGTTGACCCTCACATGGCCGTTGTAAGGATTGCCTTGTTCACAGCGAGTGGGCCCTGTAGTGTCGTAGTCTGGTTTTCTTTTCTCAGCCCATAGTCTTGGAGTCTGTTTTCTACAACACAGACAGGTCTGCGTGTAACCGGAGGGGGATTGTCTTCTCTCTGTGGTGGAAGCACCAATAATAGTCGAATTTGATTTTTCGGGAGAAACTAGTAGAAAGTTATTGTTGGTTATTGGCCAAACCCTATGATAAAACAGAATAACAAGTATCTGTGGTTAGTAAAATATTCTAAATCTTGGAGTACCTGGGTGGCTCAGGTTGGTTAAGTGTCCGACTTCGGCTCAGGTTATGATCTCAAGTTCCTGGGTTCAAGCCCTGCATCAGGCTCTGTGCTGGCTTTGGATCCTGTCTCCCTCTCTCTCTACCGCGCCCCCCCCCCCGACTCACACACATTCTCTCTCTTTCTCTCTTCAAAAATAAACCTTAAAAAATAATAAAATATTCTAAATCTCATATAATGCATTTATTTATAAATAGTTCCACAAATCACAGTCTAGGCTGCCCCCCTCTGTGTTGCCGCTGAGGGTGACAGACTTCCATGGGCTTGTGTGGTGCTCATCATGGCCTGTGACTGGTGCCGTAGGTGAGCAGTCCCCTGGCTGGGTTGTAAAGTAGAATTTGATACATTTGATTTCTGAGCCACCTCTGGCATTTCAGTATTTCGGGCTGTGGCTAGTATAGTTCTATTAGAAGATTAATTGGGGAATTTAGAAATGATTTGGGGTTAGCCCAGAATTTACTGTGAGCTACCACCATTTTGAAACTTCAGTAGTTTAACTTACTTTAAATTTAAACATGAGTGTGAATACATGAAATAATGTGGATGCATGACTTTCATCCAGCTGTTCCTGACTCTGGTTTGGATGGCTTGGGATCAGCCATGCTGAGAGCGTGCCAGTTACAGTGGGGAGCTTTCCTGAACTTGTCTGTAAACTGTGAGCCATGCTTTGTGTAACAGAAAGAATAGAGTAGGAGTTGAGAGAAATATTCTCTCTGTGCCTCATAAGATTATTTTGTGGATCAGATTTAAAACAACATATATGGAAGTATTTTGCAAAGTGTTCTTGTTAGTGGAAGAAGGTGTCAATAATTTTTTTTAATGTTTATTTAGTTCTGAGAGAGAGAGAGAGAGAGAGCGTGTGTGTGTGAGCAGGGGAGGGTCAGAGAGAGAGGGAGACACAGAATCTGAAACAGGCTCCCAATGCGGGCCTCGAACCCACGAACTGTGAGATTATGTCCTGAGCCGAAGTCAGACGCTTAACCGACTAAGCCACCCAGACACCCCGTGAAGGTGTCTGTAATACTTCTCAACCTTTAGCTCATATTTTCTCCTTTCTGGTCTGCCAAATGCTTTGTACTGGATTAATTCATTTTAGGCTGTGACAGATTCTTGTAAGCTAATTCCGTGCTCAAAGAGTATTTTAAAGGATTGGGTTATTTTGGCTCTGTTCATCCCTAAGCAGGAAAGGTCAGAGGACTACAGTGAGAACCCTTGGTCTCATACCTGGGGAAAAGGTGGAAGTTGACATTTATCCCATTGGAAATGGCCTCCTTCCCTGTGGTGTAGATCTCCCACCCCTTTCTCATTCCCTAGATCCCCCTCCTCGCCCCTGGTCCCCCCCCCCCCCGCCGTTTCGTTCCCAGACCTTCCGGCTGGGGGGGGGGTTGCACCCCAACTCCTTCACTCGGGAGGAGGATGGCCCCTCCCAACACAGCGCTGTGTGTAAGTTGACCGCCCTCTGCACGGGCTGCATGCCTGGGCCTCTGCTTTGCAGGGCACTGAAACTGGGGAACATTTTCATTTCTCAGCAAAGAAATATATGAATTCTACGTATTTTTTTTATGTTTCATAGAATTCAATTCGCCACAATCTCTCTCTGAATCGCTATTTCATCAAAGTACCGCGTTCCCAGGAAGAACCAGGCAAAGGCTCATTCTGGAGGATAGACCCTGCCTCTGAAAGCAAATTAATAGAGCAGGCTTTTAGGAAAAGACGGCCTAGGGGCGTGCCTTGCTTTAGAACCCCTCTGGGACCGCTCTCGTCTAGGTAAGGAAAAAAGACAAAAAGACCTCACTTACTGGTCAGTAAAAAATTTGCTTTCGATGTATTGGTCAGTTTTCCTTTTCAGAGTGAAGGAACTACCAAATGCGGTGTGGTTCAATGTTGGGATGGGAATTTGCACAAGAGTGTCGGGTGCCGCCCGTACTTCTCTTGAACAGTGGTCTGAAACAGTGGAGACTGTCGATGAAGTTTTACTTCCGCTCCCATGTAGCAGCTGTGGCTTCATTGAACTCATTGAACATTGTTAATATGACCGGTTGGCATTTGATGAGCTGTGTGGTTTCCTTTCCCTTGGCACGTGAACAGCTCTTTAAAGCTGTGTTTTAGTGGTAAAGCTCAAGATTGATTTATATGTTAATTGCGTGATTTAGAATTATACGTTTTTAGCTTCATTAATAGATACTCTGTTTCTAAACAACAAAAAAACGAAAGGACCAGGCTGTCAGGCTTTGGCCGCCGCCTGCTCACACACTGCTGGCTCCTGCCTGTGCACAGGAGCTTCCTCGGGAGGCCACCCATCCAGCTCCACGGCCGTGCGCCCTGTGCTGGGCACGGAGCTCTGGCAGCCCAGCACATGCACACTGGCTGTCACAGCTGAGTGAGTCTCAGGAAGGTCCATCTCTGGTCACAGACATTCACAGGGAAAGTAAAACTCACAGAACTGTAGTCAGTTGGCAGAAGACAATGGCTCCCTGTTTTCAGAATGCACTTTATTGAAACGAGGCAGCTTTATGCATGCTTTTCTTGTAAAAATCTACTGTCTTCTCCTTGGTAACACAGAAGTGCCCCGGCCTCACCCAATCACTCTGGAGTGCTGTCTGCTCACTCCAGTGGTGCCCAGACCCCTGAGAGCCTGTCGAGGGAAGGTTCACCGGCCCCCCTGGAGCCTGAGCCCAGCGCCTCACAGCCCAAACTGGCCGTCATCCAGGAGGCACGGTTTGCCCAGAGTGCACCAGGTGAGCCGCGCAGAGAGAGGGCAGGTGTGCTGGGCGGGGGGCGAGCCAGGCTTCTCAGAGGGCACAGCAGCAGCCTCTGTTCCTTTGTACAGGGTGCTTTCCGCATAGTACCTGAGTGTTACAAGCTCTGTAAAACTAATAGCACTGAGTGTTTTGTTTTGTTTTTTAAAATCAGTGAACGTTTTATGTAAACCTTTTATATAGATGCCTGAAATAATTAAGAGTTAATCTGTTTCTCAGTTGCTACATCATTCAAAAATGGCGAAAAAAATCCCTCCCCCCCAAAGGAAAAACACAAATTAGACAAACTAAACATTGGTTGGCAGCAAAAACTGTCCACTTAATGAATAAGTGAGCATCTCACAGTTAACTAGGTTGCAATGCAGAATAAAAATGTGTGCCCTGGGGAATTTAAAAACAAAAACAAAAATAGTAACAACATAGTGTGGAACTGTATCTCAGCTGGTTCTATTATGGTTCCTAGTTGGTTGGCAAAATGTGTGTATTTGGTGTTTTCTGGTTTTTGTTTTGTTTGAGCAAGAGCACACATGAACAGGGGAGGGGTAGAGAGAGAATCCCAAGCAGGCTCTGCACTGTCAGCACAGAGCCGATGTGGGACTCGAAACCACAAACTGTGAGATCATGAGCTGAGCCAAAATCCAGAGTGGGACTCTGAACCAGCTGAGCCACCCAGATGCCCCCAAAATATGCATTTTGACACAGTGGGATTCCTGACAGCAGTCCCCTCCCCATCCCCATCTGTACCTCCTGTCACCAGTGTGTCTTTTCATTTACTCTGCACCCAAACCGGGAAGAGCAGAGGTTGGTTGGCAGAGCTTATGACTCTGTGTCTGGACTTTCCAGGCCCCTTGCTCCCACCGTAAGACTCTGATGCTGGAGGAGCACGGCCCCCTCGTCTGGGCCTCAGCAGGCAGCTTCGTCGCATATACTGTGTTGACATTTTCTTTCTCATGAGGAAAGAGCTGTGGGAAGAGGTGTCGTAAGAAATCTGAATAGGGCAAGAATTGCATTTTTCTTTTTCTTTAAAAAAATTTTTTTTTTTAACATTTATTTATTTTTGAGAGACAGAGCATGAGCAGGGGAGGGGCAGAGAGAGAGGGAGACATAGAATCTGAAGCAGCTCCAGGCTCCAGGCTGTCAGCACAGAGCCCGATCTGGGGCTCGAACTCACGCACCGTGAGATCATGACCTGAGCTGAAGTTGGACGCCTAACTGACTGAGCCACCCAGGCGCCCCAAGAATTGCATTTTTAGCAGTTAGATACATGAGTTCAATATCCCCACTAAAATACCACATTTCTCCCATTGAGAGTGACTTCACTGTTAGAAGGTGGAAGGGGCATGTCCTGTGTTACTCCTCCCTGCATCCTGAGTGGGTGGTTGTACTTAGTCGGTTCTGGGAAACGGTTGGAGGAACATGGGTGCCTGTGCCTCACCCCTGCTCCCTCATCCTCCACAGGCTCTCCCCTGTCTAGTCAGCCCGTTTTAATTGCTGTGCAGCGGCAGCTGCCGCCAACGATCAAGCCTGTCACCTACACGGTCGCTGCCCCCGTGACCACCTCGACCTCCCAGCAGCCTGTTGTGCAGACGGTGCACGTCGTCCACCAGATCCCTGCGGTGTCTGTCACCAGCGTGGCCGGCCTGGCCCCGGCAAGCACGTACACTGTCGCCGGCCAGGCTGTGGTCACTCAGGCGGCCGTGCTGGCTCCCCCTAAGGCAGAGCCGCAAGAGAATGGCGATCACAAAGAAGTAAAAGGTGAGCAACGGAAGAAGTCACTGCGGGCCGTTTCTTAAGCTATTAGACACCCAGCAGACTTACTCGCCCCAACCCCCTTTCTTGTTGTTGTTGTTGTAATTTTTTTTTTAATGTATTTATTTTGAGAGAAAGAGATGAAAGCACAAGCAGGGGAGGAACAGAGAGAGGAGAGAGAGAGAGAGCGCGAGAGCGCGAGCGTGTCCTAACCAGGCTCTGTTAGTGCAGAGCCCGAGCCTGGGCTAGAACTCTTGAACCATGAGATTACAACCTGAGCAATAACCAAGAGAGACACTTAGCCACCTGAGCCAGCCAGGCACCGCCCCCCCAACCCCTTTTCTAATTGCATAACGTCATAGAGTGGGTCTGCCGGCCACCTGGCGTGATTCCTGTGACTTTCCAGTAATGTCATTTGGTATCATTTCTTTCCCCTTTCTTTTAATTTCAGTGAAAGTGGAACCTATTCCTGCGATTAGCCATGCCACGCTAGGCGCCGCAAGCCGGATCATTCAGACGCCACAGAGCACCCCCGTGCAGACGGTCACCATAGTGCAGCAGGCCCCGCTAGGTCAGCACCAGCTACCGATAAAAACTGTAACGCAAAACGGGACTCACGTGGTGCCCATCCCTGCCGCCGTCCACGGCCAGGTGAACAACGGTAAGTCGTGCCCTGCACAGGTAATACGGTGCAGGTATCAAGAGCAAAGGTGCTTTGCTCTCCGTTTTATGAATGGCAGTGCTCTATTTTGGTTCTATTACAATTTTAACTTTTTGTCTGAGGAAATGTTTGCATTTCTAAACTATAGGAAACCTAATAGTGCTGCAGGGCACCTGGCAGCGGCCGTGGGTATCGGCTCCCGTGGGATCCCACTGGAGGGCCGTCTGAATGGAGAGCAGTGTGTCTGTAAATACGTAGAGAGATAAAGATCCCCCACACACACACATGTGAAGATACCTGGGTGTGGCCTAGTGTGATGGGAGGTTTGGGTGCCATACCTGCCTTCCGAGATGTCTCCTGGGAGTGTGCTGTGCTCGAGAGTGTGTCCAGCAGAAGCAGAGAATCCTGCTCCTTGTGCACATAGCTCTCCACAGATGTTCTCACATCAACAAGTAGAGAAGATAGGACAGACCAAGGGAGCTTGGCATTTATTTATTTTTATTTTATTTATTTTTTTAAGTAGGCAACACGGAGCCCCACTAGGGTCTTGAACTCAGTAACCATGAGATCAAGATGTGAACTGAGATCAGGGGTCGGACGCTTAACCGACTAAGCCACCCATGTGGCCTTGAGCTTGGCTTTTAAATAAGAGCACAGAGAACCACCTTGCACCCAGGCCTGTGGAGCCATGTGAAGGGTAGGGGTCCGGCTAGCTGTCACATTAACTCAGCAGTCTAGTGTCGTCCTCAGAGCTGCTGCTGTTTTAGCAGTGGGTCCTTGCCCAGGCGTGCGGAGTAGCCAAGTCGGGCTGCTGGTCAAAAGGCGCTCTTTGTGCCCATAGAGTTTCTTTGAAAAAGGATAGAGAACAGAAGCCTTAATTGTGTTGACCTCCCACTTCCGAGCTGTGAAGGAATCGAGGGGACCTGCCTTTACCTCAAGGGATTCAGATTCCCACTCGGCCTCGCCCCGAATTCAGTGGTAGAATAAATCTGGAACCTTTCCTGGGGAAGACTAACCACCTGAGGGTTCTTTGTTTTTATCATTATTTTTTTTAAGTTTATTTATTTTGAGAGAGCGTGGGGAAGGGGCAGGGAGGTGGAGAGAGAATTCCAAGCAGGCTCTGTGCTGGCTGAATCCCATGAATGGTGTGATCATGACATGAGCTGAAACCAAGAGTCAGACGCTTAACCGACTGAGCCACCAGGTGCCCCGAGAGTTCTTTGTTTTTAAATAATAGTCACCACGCGCCGACCTGGGGGTAATGGAGAAACTTGCAATCAGTTACCCATTCCACTTTTTTTTTTTTTTTTTAAACGTTTTATTTATTTCTGAGAGAGAGAGAGGGAGACACAGAATCCGAAGCAGCTCCAGGCTCTGAGCTGTCAGCACAGAGCCCGATGCGGGGCTCGAACATGAGATCATGACCTGAGCCGAAGTCGGACGCTTAACTGACTTAGCCACCAGGCGCCCCTAAATTATCCATTTCAAATGCTGTCTTCTCAGGTCCCATGTCCCCTAAGTATTAAGAGCTGTTCGAGCCTTGTTTTCTCTCTGAATAAGATGGTCATTGTGGATGATCTTGACGCAGCAAACCTGTTAGTGCTGTGTGTGCAGCTGGAAGGAAGTGGCATTGGAAGGTGACTGGTTGGTCCTTTTCTGGTCTGAGTCCTGCTCAGGCTGAAGCCATGGTTCAAGCCAGTGATTCCCAGCTATCCGTCGAGGACTCCCTCCCAGGATCCTTGCCCAAGCAAGGTGGCCTGGGGGCCCAAGAATGTGCATTTCTAACACATTCCGGCTTGTCTGAGAACCACTGGTGCTGGTCAGGGGCTTCTAATACCCTCCTGTCTGTCTGCTGGAAGGAATTGGAAAAGCTGTGTATCCCTTTCACATGTGGAAGTTGTTTTCTAAAATTTTTCCTTGCAGGTTTAATAAGCAAAGAACTAAGTTTCCCACTGTTTTTGCAGCATTCTCTCTAATTTGTTGCTGGCTCTGAATACTGCCCTGATTTGGTGTCTGCTCCTGGAACATACGAGCTCCCAGACAGGCCCTCCTGCCCTTGGAATGGGGTCTTGTGCCCTCGCAGATTTCGTACGAGTGCTGACTAGTTTATGTTTGAATGCCATTTATTGAGCACATTTTTACTCTGCACAGGAGAATGCAGAAATATTAAAGATTTAATCGTGAATATAAGGGTTATAGAACCTGAGAAGACAGCATTTGAAATGGGTAACTGATTGCAAATTTCTCCATTTATCCACAGGCTGGCATGTGTTAACTATCATTTAAAAACAACTCTTCGGGCACCTGAATGGCTCAGTTGGTTAAACGTCTGACTCTTGATTTTGGCTCAGGTCATGATCCCAGGGTCACAGGATCAAGCCGTTGTCAGACATTCCGCAGGCATCGTGGGGCCTGCATGGAATTCTCTCTCCCTCTCTCCCCCTCACTCGCTTATGTGTGCGTGTGCACGCTCTCTCAAAATAAACTTTAGAAAAACCCAAAAATATAATTTTTGAATTTTTTAAAATTCATTTTAAAAAACTTTTAATGTTTATTTTTGAAAGAGAGAGTGCAAGCAAGGGAGGAGCAGAGAGAGAGGGAGACACAGAATCTGAAGCAGCTCCAGGCTCTGAGCTGTCAGCACAGAGCCCGACACGGGGCTCGAACCCATGAACTGTGAGATCATGACCTGAGCCAAAGTCAGACACGTAACTGGCCGAGCCCACCCAGGTGCCCCCCAAAATACAATTTTTTAAATGTTTGTTTGTTTAGAGAGAGAGGTGCATGTGGGGGGGGGGCAGGGGACAGGCAAAGGGAAAGATCCCAAGCAGGTTTTTCTCTGTCATTGTGGAGCCCGACTTGGAGCTTGATCCCACAACCACAAGGTCAGGAGTTGGTGGCTCAACCAAGTCACCTAAGCAGTCCTCAAAAATATAATTTATAAATTAATTATATTAAATATTAAATTCTTAATATATTGGGGCTTTAAAAAACCCCACACTTGAGACATTGTTCCTTCTCAGAAGGAAACATGGAAAAAATATTGAAACTCGTTCCAGTTTTAGTAAAAAATCATTTTAAATTATCTGTTAGTGGGAAATTTTATTGCTTCTTCTTTAATTTGGTTGCAGTCTTTTACTTAGAAATCACTTGGGGGGTGGGGCGCCTAGAGGGCTTAGTCATTTGAGCGTCCGACTTCAGCTCAGGTCATGATCTCACATTCCTGGGTTCGAGCCCCGCGCGGGCTCTGTGTGGACAGCTCAGAGCCTGGAGCTGCTTCGGATTCTGTGTCTCCCTCTCTGCTGGCCCCCCACCGGTACGGTCTCTCAAAAAATAAAAAACACTAAAAAAAAAAAAATTTATTTTTACTTTAAAGAAATTACTGGCTTAGAAAAAGGTTTTCTCTCCTAGTCAGTAGTGATTCAGCACCAGTGTCTTTAGTGCTCCCTGAGTCTGTCCTCCCTGAGTCTGAGCAGCAGTGCTCAGCTGAGGGGGTGCAGGAGGTGGTGTTGCAAAAGGGGAGGAGGTGGCAGATGAGCTTGAAGACTGTGGGTGAGGAGGGTGGGCTGAAGCCGGCTCTCCTTATAGTACCAGCTGCCTCTGAGGCGCTGCATGGCCTGTGGCTGCCTTCTCCCTTGACAGTCACTCTTGAGAAAGGAAAGCTGTACCTGTTAATATCGGAAAGCCAACAGCTTTGATATTTTTCTTTTAAGCTTTTTATTCTAGAAAATGTCAGACATACTGGAAATTCTCTCACAGCTGTTCCCTACCCAGATCCAGTCATAATGTCATTTTTATCTGTTAATATTTCAGCATCTCTAAAAGAACTTGGCTTTTTACTATTTTTTAAAATTAGCAGTAAATAAAACATTTTAAAAAAAAAATTAAAAAAAAAATTAGCAGTAATTCTTTTATATTTAGTATTTCCTTAGGATTTAAGTCCTTTTTTTTAATCATCATGGTAAAATATACATAACATACAATTGACCGTTTTAATTTAATTTTATTTTAATTTTTATTGTAATGTTTTATTTATTTTTGAGAGAGAGAGAGACAGCGTGAGCAGGGGAGGGTCAGAAAGAGGGAGATACAGCATCTGAAACAGGCTCCAGGCTCTGAGCTGGCAGTCAGCACAGAGCTCAACATGGGGCTCAAACCCACAAACCATGAGATCATGACCTAAGCCGAAGTTGGATGCTCAACTGACTGAGCCACCCAGGTGCCCTCAGTTGACCATTTTATTTTATTTTATTTTATTTTTTTTAAGGTTTTTTTTTACTTATTTCTAGAGAGAGAGAGTGAGCAGTGGAGGGTCAGAGAGAGAGGGAGTCACAGACTGAAACAGGCTCCAGGCTCTGAGCTGGCAGTCAGCACAGAGCCCAACGCGGGGCTCGAACCCATGAACCGCGAGATCATGACCTAAGCGAAAGTCGGACGCTTAACCGACTAAGCCACCCAGGCGCCCCGTCAGTTGACCATTTTAAAGTGTACAAGTCAGTGGCATTAAGTCCATTCACAGCATTTGGGAACCATCAGCTCTAAGGAGTTCAGAAGCATTTCATCGTCCCGGTAGGAAACCTTGTACGCAGTAAGCAGCCACTTCCTGATTCCCTCTTACCTGAGCCTCTGGTGGCCGCTAATCTGCAGTCTGTGGATCTGCCGACACCAGACATTCCCTGTAAATACAGTTTGATGCGTGGCTTTTTATATGTGGCCTCTGACTGAGCAGATCCTGTTGTGAGGTTTACAGCACGTGGGTCATCACTTCTTCATGGAAAATGTGTTTCCATTTTTGTGGTTCATTCCAGGTAATGGGCGTTTCAGTTGTCACCCTTCTGGCTGTTGTGGGTCGTGCTGCTGTGGTCATTCGTGTGTATGTATTGTGTCCTCCGTTTTCACTTCTTGTGGGTGTTTACGCAGGAGCAGAATTGCTCAGGCATGTGGTGATTCTGCGTCGTTTATTGAAGAACCTGCGAACTGTTTCCACAGCAGCTGCACCGTCTGCACGCCCGCACTGACTGGGAGATTCTGACATGTCTCCGCCCTCCCTGGCACCTGTCATTCGCCCCCTCCTGGCCATCTTACTGGGTGTGAAGGGCTGTCAGTGGTGTTGACACGCATTTCCCTCATGACTAATGACGTTGAGCATCTTTTCATGTGCTGGGTGATTTTGTAGGTCTTCAAAGAGATGTCTGTTAAGTCCTTTGGACATTTTTTGTTATTGAGAGAGACAATTTGCAAGTATCTTCTCCCATTTGGTGGGTTTGTCTCTTCACTTTCCTGATAGTGTCTCTGATGCACCAGTTTCTGAGAGATTTTTTTAAAATTTTTTAAATAGTTATTTTTGAGAGAAAGAGCACATGAGTAGGGGAGGGGCAGAGAGAGGGAGACACTGAATCTGAAGCAGCTCCAGGCTCCGAGCTGTCAGCACAGAGCCCGACAGAGTGCACATCTGATGCACCACGTTTTAATTGTCAAGTCCCCCTTCTCTCTCTTCCCTTTTGTGTCTTGTGCTCCAGGGCCTATATACTGAGACTCCACTGCCCCGTCTGAAGTGTTTCCCCTGCGTTTTCCTCTGCTCAGAGCTATAGCATTCCAGCTCTCAGGTTGAGGCCTTTGACCCATGATGCATTAATTTTTGTGTGCGGTAAGGGCCTGACTGCATCGGCGTGTGGATGTCCATTTGTCCCAGCACCATGGGAGAGACCGTGCTTTCCCCATTGAGTGGTTTTGTCACCCTTGTGGAAAATCACCTGACCTCAGATACACGGGTTTATTTCTCAGTTCTGTCTCCCTGACTTCCGTGCCTGTCTGTATGCCAGAGCCACAGTTTTGATTACTGTCATTTTGAATTTGGGAAGTAGGAGTCCTCTGACTTTGTTCTTCAAGATTGTTTTGACTGTCTTGGATCCCTAGCAATTCCATGCAGATTTTAGGATCAGCTCTTCCATTTCTGCAAGAAAAAGAAAAAAAAATTGGGGATTTTGTAGGGACTGCACCGTAGACTGCTCTAGGCAGTAGGGCTGCACGACAAGCATCTCGTCTTCTCGTCCAGGAGTGTGGACTCTCCATGTGTTTAGGTCTTCAGTTTCGTTCAGCAGTGCTCTGTAGTTTTCAGTGTAAAGGTCTTGCTTAAATTTCTTCCTGTTTTATTCCTTTGGAATTCCTTCCTGATCCTTTGGAATTGTTTTCTTAATTTCCTTTTTAAGTTGTTCATTGTTACTCTATATACACGGCTGATATCTGCATGTCAATACTGTACTTTGCAACTTTGCTGAGTTCAGTTGTGAGTTGTCATAGTTTTGGCCTAGGGGGTTTTCTTGTGTGGATTTATTAGGATTTCCTACAAAGATTAGGTTGTTTCTAGTAGAGAGTTTTACTTCTTTTTCCATTCGGATGCTGTTGACTGCCGTGTGCTGCCTGCTGGCCCGGGACTCCAGTGGTGTTGAATCTCAGTGGCACCCGTGACCTGCTCCTGATGCTAGGGGGAGAGCATCGTCTTTCACCGTCGAGGCTGACGGTAGCCGTGGGTTTGTACATGGACCGTATTTTGCTGAGTTGTTTCCCCGCTTTCTGGTTTGCCGAGGAGCTTTATCGGGAAAGTGTTGAATTCAGTCATATGCTTTTTCTGTGTCAAGATGATCATGTGGGTTTTTTCCTTTATGAATGCAGTGTGTTGCATGGCTTTTTTTTTTTTTTTAATTTTTTTTTAATGTTTTATTTATTTCTAGGAGAGAGAGAGAGAGAGACAGCTTGAGCAGGAAAGGGTCAGAGAGAGAGGGAGTCACAGACTGAAACAGGCTCCAGGCTCTGAGCTGGCAGTCAGCACAGAGCCCAACGCGGGGCTCGAACCCACAAACCGAGAGATCATGACCTAAGTGAAAGTCGGACGCTTAACCGACTAAGCCACCCAGGCGCCCCTGCATGGCTTTTTTTTAAATGTTTAACTACTCTTGCATCCCTGGGATGAATATGTCGGCCGTGGCGTGTAACCCTTTCATGTGCTATTGAATTTGATTTGCTGCAGTCTCGTTGAGGAGGTTAATGTCGGTGTTTGTCAGAGACGTGGTTTGTAGCTTTCCTGTGGTATTCTGGTCCGCTTCAGTCTCAGGGTGAAGCTGGCCTCGCAGAGTGAATGTGGAAGTCAGGCCTGCACCTGTGCGGGGTCGCTCCTCTTCCCGGTGGCTTCCAGGGCTGCGTCGCCTGCCCCCCGGAAAGCCCAGCGTGCTATGGCCGTTCTCAGCCTCTCTTCTCCCACTGGGCTGTGGTTCTGGTCACAGTGCTCCGTCGGTGTTGGCCTTTGCTGAGACAGCTACCCCAGTCCCAGGCCTCTGTCCGGGGGCAGGAAGAAAGGTCACCTCAGACTGCTGACCACATTCTGTGTGACCCTGAAGCAGAAGCTCCAGGCTGACACTTCGGTCGCTGTCCTCAAGAGTCCCCATTGTGCTCACAGCCGTTGGCTCTTCTTACAGAAAACTGTCCCCAGCCCTCTGGCCTGTGCTGCTCTGAGGTTTTAAGGCCTTGTGGGGAAGGAGGTGCCTGTGCGCTGTCGTCTTAGTCCATTGCCCCCGTTCACCTCCGCCTCCCCTGGGGGCCACTTTGCAAAGGTGTATCTGGAGCCAGCAGAAGACCAGGTTAGCCTTTTGCCCTGTTTCCCCACCGCTGGCCTGCGGGGAGGAGCGGCCCGGGAGGTGCCTGCCCTGAGGGGACAGCATTGCCTCCACCAGCTGAGGGCGCCTGTCATGTCCACACTGTGTGAGGCTGGTTCTCAAGGGGAGTTGCAGAGGTGACCTCATGCAGTTGACCCTCAGCATTTGATCACTAACAGTTACTAATCCCAGTCGGTGCCCACACGTGCTCACACACACACACACACACACACACACGTGGGTTGGAAGAATGCTGGATCTGGCTCCTGCCGAGGGGTGACACAGTGGTGCCCTGTCCTGGGTTCAGCTCTGACTAGAAACCTGTGTCCTTTTCATAGCCTATTAGTGCCCTGTTTTTCAGGGTTTTTTTTTTTTTTTTTTTTTTTGGCGATTTCTCCTGTTTACAGTGGACCCCAAGCATAGTGCTGCAAAGGCAGCACTGGTGTTGCGGGCACAGAAGGCTCTATCTGCCTTACGTTAGATAAGCTGCTTTCAAGCATGAGCTCAGTGCTAACGTGGTAAGTTGTCTTTAACCAGAAGCACACATAGAACAAGGTATGTGTTCACCAGTTGAAGGCCCCCCACCCTGTGTTTCTCCTGGGATGGCGGCCGAGCACAGCAAGGTCCCAGCGTCCCGTGTTGCTCAGCTCTGGGCACTGATTCACTCACATTTGTGTCAGGCATCTTAGACCATGTCGCGGGTGTGTCGTCCTGGAAGAACTTGGGCTGCCTGTCGGTGCCACCCCAGCAGCCACACAGGTCCTCTTTCCTGACAGGGACAGGACACTTAGTCTGGAATGCAGTGGAGAGGAGCCAGGACACCCCCGTTATTAATCAGGGTCTACCCAGCCCCTCTATTCCTGAGGGCATGGCCACGTGCAGAGCTCCACTCTGGCCTCCTGGCTAGGCCAGGGGCTGAAAGTTCTCAGGGTGCCTGGCCGCTGGAGACCCCTAGGGCCCGTCTGCCCAGGAGGATGCTCTCTCCATCCCCATGTGTCACACACAAGGGGCCTTAGCACAGAGCCAGCATCGGGACCGGCCTGGCAGATGAAGTGCATGAGGTCAAGACTGCTCCTGTGTGGTCACCCAGGGGGCAACGATCTGAAAGACCGGGGCTGGCCACAGCTAGCCCGACACAAATCGGGGGGACAGGTGCTCTCACGAGTGTGTGACGTGTTGTAGATGCCCGAGGCCCCTGTGTGAAAAGGAGCAGGTGGTCCAGATACAGTCTGGATGTATTCCGAGTCCGGGTACAACCAGGTGGGTCTGAATTGCAGAATTGCGTCCTGTGCCGCCCGCTGGTCAGAGCGGTCCACAGCAGCCGTGCGCGCCCCTGGGCCCCAGCGTATTCCGCCCCCTCCCCCCCGCCACTTTCGAGTTCCCAGTCTGCCTTTCTATAGCCTGACTCCTCCTCCCTTCCCTTCCTCCCACGGTACAGGGCAACTGTGTGCCTCCCCGGCTGTTTCCGGGTTTGGACTGTGGAGGGCTTGGGCCCCTCACGCTGGAATGCTGATGAGGCTGGGGGTTCTGCCCCTTCCAAGGGGGGCCCAGGCCTGTCTTCTCTGAGGCAGTGGCACTTTTTTCTTTTCATGTCCTGGAGTTGGCCTGGTTGTGCAAAGCACAGACCGGGGGAGAGCCAGGGAAGGACGGGAGGGTCGGTCTGTGAAGAGAAGCCGAGGGAGGGCGCGCTTGGTGATGGGGGCCAAGGAGAAGCGGAGGAGCCGGCCCCGGGCTCGTGGGCGCACGCACATCTGCTTGTGAACTCCTAGGCTCACGGGGCCCAGAAGGGGATTAACCGGCTTTCCTTGTTGCAGCTCCCAGTTGGCCTGAGCCACATGCCCACCCCCGTCACGTGAAGCAGTCGTGTGGGGCACGAGGGGTCTCTGCATGGGGAGGGAGGTGGGGAGGCCGGCAGCGGTCCCTTTGTCTGACCTGGAGCCTCCCTCGTGTGTGCTTCTCTTAAGTGATAAAGGTGCCGGCCATCGCGGAGAATACCCGCTTATCAGACAGTTAACTTGCTGCAGAGGGTTTCTGGTCCCCAGGAGCCCAGTCCTGGCTCCTGTGCACCTGGCCCCCGTGGGCCGTACAGTCACACAGGCAAGCCAACCCTGCGGGCAGAGCCTGGGCCAGCTGGCGCCCGGGGCCCCGTGGGGGAAGAGGGCGCACCCAAGAGCACGGGGTCTGACTCACCGTCTCTTTGCAGCAGTGGCGAGTCCTCTGCACATGCTGGCGACACACGCGTCGGCGTCGGCCTCCCTGCCCACAAAGCGTCAGAACGGTGACCAGTCGGAGCAGCCGGAGCTAAAGCGGGTCAAGACGGAAGACGGCGAGAGCATCGTCATCGCGCTGAGTGTGGACACGCCGCCGGCAGCCGCCAGGGAGAAGGGTGTCCAGAACTAGCGACCGGGACAGCTTTTCTTACTTTAGTATCAACTCTGTGGTGCCAAAAGGAGACACTGCCTCTCACCGACGCTCGGAGCACCGTCTCGGTGGGTAGAGGGCCCTGCGGTTGGACTTCACCTCAGCACTGAAAACACAAAACCCAGGTGGCCTTAAAACTCCTTAAAGACAGAAGTCACACCTGAACAAAACCACATGTGACAAAACCTGGTTCTGGCAGCATCTCCCCAGCCTGAGCTCAGCTGGTCCCTCCGGAGCAGAGACGCGAGTCCTGGGTGAGCCCGTGCCTGGGGCTGGCGGAGCTGCCGGGACAGGGCGGGCGCCGTCCCCGTCACCTTCCCAGGCCCCCGGGGGCTGGCGCTGGGAGAGGAGACCATGTTTCGTTGTCCACGTGTGGGATTAGAGTATTTTGAGGTGTACTTTCTTGATGAAATGATGGGGTCTTTGACATTTCAGATCACTCCATTTCTACTCTGGAAATTTTGGAATCACACAGGACTTTTTGTGTTGATTTCATTTGGGGAAAAGAAACAATGTAGTTTTGTTTTTGTTGTTTGTTTTCAGCCTATGGAATGATTTCCTTTTGTCTATCCTGTTAGTGTTCAGAGGAGCCACTTGATGACATCCGCAGGTTTTCCGTGTTAGAGCAGGTGCCGGATGCGTTTAGGATGGACAGACAGACTGACTGGACAGACGGATGCCCGCACTGGGCTGCATGTAGCCATGACCGAAAGAACTGCTGGACTCTCCGAGCTGCACTTAACTGGTTCTCTTTCCTGCTACTTTTTGTTGTTTGTTTCTTTGTGTTGACTTTGTCCCTGGCATAATTTTTCCACTCTAAGTAAAACAAGCCTCCTAAGTGTTGTGTGTGTTTAAAACGACAGAACTGTTCCTACTTCATTTGGAAAAAAGATTCCGTCTTCTTCCACATACCCTTTTCAGACAAGTGCCACAGGTCTCTCTGTGGCACATCTGCTAGTGGCAGTCACCGGCGCGAGGCGCAGAGCCATCATCCGACCAGCCATCCACCTGGTGACAGTGCGGTTTGCCCGGCGTGCGGGGAGCAGCAGGTGCTGGGGTGGAGGAGAGGCTGCGTGTTAACATGAGGGCCCTGGAAACATCCAGGTCCTTCTCTGATTTGTGACAGGAAATCCCCCTCAGCCTTTCAGAGCTGAAGCAGTCCTAACGCTGACTTCTCGCCTACAAGACACAAAAGTGAGGTGAAAGGAAACAGAGGTGAGTGAATGAGCAGTAGGGCCCCCCCTTCGCCTGGCCTCAGTCCCGCTGTCCCGGAACAAGACCGCTGGCCTTTCCAGAGCCTTCCGAGGGGGTCAGGGCTGAGCAGCTGTGCAAAGAGAAGAGGGCTTGGGCCTTACTGTGAACTTTTAAATGTCATCATCATCATCATGTTATTTATTTAAATGTAGTTATTTTGGTATTTAATTTTTTTTTTAAGAGAAGGAAAAACCCTGTATTTTCCTGGTGGAATGAAACGGCTCAGAATGGTATATTTAGGCAATTTTAAAACCTTATTTACTTACAGACCAAATATGATAAATCTGTTCTAAGTATTGTGTGTCACCCCACAGTACGGAGCTGTCACGATGTTATTGCAGAAAAATGCGTATTAAAAATAATGAAATTACTGCACACTAGCTGGATTTATAACTCAGCCATTTAAAGAAATAAAAACAGAACCATCATGTGAACGAGACCTCACGTGTGTGGCAGTGGCGAACTCTGGCTTGCAGGCTGAGGCCCGGATAGGTCAGAGCCCACAGGGCAGCTGTCTGCATCTCGCAGGCATTTCATAGATCATCTTGGAATGTATCGTTTTTGTCTTTTTACTCAAAAGGTTTGCAGTTTGCAAAATAACTCCAATCGCGTTGTGTCTTGTGTAGGGTCAAGGTCACTCCACTGAGTGGTCCAGACCCACCACTCACCACTAATGTAGGCCCTGACCGAGCTCTGGGCAGGTGAATGGTTGAGACCACTCCCAACGGGAACGTGGGCTTGGGCTGGTGCGTCGTGTGTCCGCCTGGAGCCGTGTCTGCACAGCAGTGTCCCTGTCACCGTCCAGAAAGACCGCGTTAGTTCTCCTGAAGTAAGCCCAGTCCGTCACTTGGTGATTTCTGAGCCTAAAACAGACTCTGTGGGTCTGGAGGGATTTCTGCTGGGATTATAGACTTTTTAAAAAGTACCCAGTTCTCAAATTTTTAAAGAAGAGAGGATGGTTGTTTGCTGGGAGGTAGCTGGTGTGTGCCTCTTTCAAGAGGGTTTGGGGCCTCTCAGTCCTTGTTGTCTTGTTCAGTTGGCTGATTGATTGGCACATGAAAATTTAAGGTTATCAAGGAGGAGGCAGGAAAACGACATGGATTAGCAAACAGTCGTACCCCAGGCACTTAAAAAACTTTTCCAGTTTAGCTCTGCACTCCCAGGAGCCCTCAAAACCTCCAAGGCCACTGAGCTTGCATCCCTGCCACCCTGCTTGTCACCTGGTGCCCCGTGAACAGACGTGCTGCTCTGAACTGACTCCCAGCTGTTCACAGGAAGTTCCTAAATGTCTTATCGCAAGAGGTTTCTGCTTTGACCTTTGCCAAACTTCGGAGCTCCCCAAGGGACTAGAACTTCATTTGAACAGCTTTGCCGCAAACCAAACAAAAATATGAAAGAGAAACTCACCTGTGAGCCACGTGACACGGTGTCTGGGCAGGATTTGGAATCCCTCTTACTCTGGCGCCCTTAGAGTCTCCACGTGGACAGCTGAGCTCCGGAAAGACCCTGCTTCACGGTCAGAAGGGGCGGGGCAGCCCCAGGACTTGGGATTTCCACACTATGTGACACAAGGAGATGGGTGATGGTCTTCAAGTCCTGACGTCCACAATCCTAGAAAGCATAGTGGTGATTTGTGTGCAAAGATTTTAAATTTTAAAATTACCAAGTTCCTGAAATTCAATAAAATATTTTTACTAATTTTAATTGAATGCAGAGTATCATTGTCATTTTGATAAACTGCAGCAAGCTTTTATTTTTTTTTTTAACTTGTGCTCTGACTGCCAAAGGCCTAATGCGCTGCAGCAAAGGCACCGAGGAGCTGCTGTGCTGGCCGTGGTGTGGGCTCTGCCCCCAGAGAGGGGTGTTCACAGAGGCTCGGGGGGCACAGGAGGTGGTAACAGAATTGAGCTGATTTATATCTGACAGTGCGGTTGTTGCCACCACTTCTTCATCTATGGACCTTTCAACCTAAACATCAAGATCACTGACGTCAACTTGAGATTTATGCACCTGTGGGATGAAAGTCTCATGTAAAGAGGCATGGGGCTACGCAAGCTCCACGCTCCGACACAGTGACCGTCCAGCTTCCAGAAAGTCCCTGGGGGCGGGCGGGGGTGGCTGCTGGTACCCTGGAGCAGCCAGGGAAGGACGGCACAGGGCCCCGTGGGAGCTCGTGGGAGCTGCACTCCCACACGGAGAGACCGGTTCTGACAAAAGGAAGCCTTCATCATTGGCCTTTTTAGGTCTCCTGTCCACACTGCGTTCATAGATACTTTAAAATGTGTGTGGCCTTAACTCTTCTTCTCTCAGGCATCGTTACTCTGGTAACTCATTAGACCCTCCTTCAAGTTAAACTTGTCAAAACAGGAGTAAAAGCCACTGTCCCAAAAGAGAAGCTGCCTTTGTCCAGAAGCAGACGTGGCAGAGAAGAGCCTCCATAAAGGGCAGACTTCACTGACTGGTAGGTCTTTTCATGCCGCAGAAGCACTGCTCATTAGAGGAAGGCCCACATTTAGAGCCACATTTTGTCTGTAAGAAGACGTCAGTGCTCACCGTGACCCTACCCGCAGCCATAAAATGAGTTTAGGCCTGAACAGCCGTAAGGACCACAGTACACGGGGTCTGGCCCCCTCGGCCCCCCGGCCGCCACGCGCAGGTGTCTGTGGGCGCCGTGCTCATAGCACTTACCGCTTGTGTGCCCTCTGCGCTTACGTCCACAGCGACACACGGGGTATTAGCCAGGGTCTCGGGCGACCTCTGAGGAGATGGGTAAACCTGTGGGCACACATATCCTCAGTTTGGGGGACCCCCCACCCCCCACCCCGCCGCCGTGGGTACAAGCACACTCTGCCCTGTCTTCCCCATGGTTACAGCTAACCCTTAGCAGGAGAGAGCATTATCCCGGTACCCTGACACAGAAGTAGTAGCAGGCAGGTTGGGGCTGGGGGTTAAAACTGCAGGAAAACCAATATGGTGGTGATTTTCCCATATTTTTCCCTTTTTTATCTCCTGGGCAGCCTGAATACCAGACCTGCACATCAGGAGCAAGCAACACGGTACCCGGGAGCCACCTCCTCCCTCTCCACCTGCAGAGTGCTGGGAAGTGCCCGTGGACGCCGGGATATCATGAAGCTGCACATCTGCGTGAGCGGCTCTGGACACCCTTAGGGCTGAGAGACGAGGGATTAAAAATGGGGACACCCGTATCCTCCAAAGAGGATGCGTGTATGTGAGGGGGTCCTTATGAGATCTTTTCTCTCACCACTTTGGCCACAGGCTGGTCCCAATCAGCGTGTACACCACCACAGAGAGGTAAAACCTGAAGTTTTTTAGCCAAAAACCAGGAAAAGGGGTATCCGGAAGATGGGTGTATAGGAGGCCTTCCCGCATATGATACTCTGGGTTCACCCTGAATTGTTGTGTGCCTGGAACAGACCTGTGGAAGCAGAGACTTTATTAACTGAACTTTGTCCCCTGGTGGTACACACAGGCATAGGCCCAGACAGCACTACACAGGCTCGGGGAAACCACAGACACTAGAACCAGAGCCCGTCCACAGGAGGTAAGTGTGTACCGTCTGAGCCTAGTCAGATTGTTTGCCTGCTTCCAAAAACAAAATCCAAAAATCAAAACACACCAACATTTTCTAGAGGATTTTAATACTCAGAGTCAACATAGAAAGAGCCAGGAATATCTTTAAAGGGAAAAAGAAAGTCAACAGATGTCAAATGTGTTGGAATACTCAGAAAAAGAAATGACAGTCTTTTAAAGCTCTATTCATTATAACCATACTCCCATGAAAGAAGGGCAAATGCTCTCAAAATAAACCAAAAGTTATAAACTTTAAAGCAAAAAATTCAGTGGATAAACATTTGGAAACAGAAACAAACCAAGCCTTGGGGACTTGTGGGACAATATAAAAAATAAAAAAAATTTTTTTTTACCAAAATGGTTGGGAATATCCCTAATTTGGCAAAAGACAAATTTAAGGATTCACAAATTTCAGTACACCCCAAAAAGTTAAAGAAAATCATGTCAAAACATCACTGACTAATGAAACTGAAGAAGACTTTTTATCTTGAAAGCACCCTCCCCCCAAAAAAGTGATTCACTTTATACAGAGTAACAACAATGTAAGTAACAAGTCTCATCAGAAACAAGAGCCCATATGACTGGATAGTTTTTAAAGGCTAAAAGTAACGTCTAGAGTACTGTATTCATAGAATATTACCAGGAACACAGATGAAATCGATCTTTCTACATGAAGGTGAGCGAAGAGTCCAGAACCTATAGAGCCTCTCAGAAAGCAATGCTAAGCGACCTTCTTCAGACAAGAAGGAAATGACAGAAAAAAACTTGGAACTTCTGGGATGAGATCAGGAGCTCCTGGGGGGCTTAGCTGGTTAAGCGGCCGACTTCATCAGGTCCTCTCACGGTTTGCGGTTTGAGCCCCACGCCGGGCCTGCCTCCGTTCTCTGTCCCCTCTCTCTACTTCCCCCACCGCTTGTGTTCTCCCTCTCTCAGAAATCAAATACTGGGGCGCCTGGATGGCTAGGTGAGTTGAGTGACTTCAGCTCAGGGCATGAGCTCACAGTTCCTGAATTCAAGCCCCACACTGGGCTCTGTGCTGACAGCTTGGGCCTGGAGCTGCTTCATTCAGATTCTGAGTTCCTCTTTCTCTGCCCCTCCCCTGCTCACGCTCTGTCTCCATCTCTGTCTCTCTCAAAAATAAACACTAAAAAAATTTATTTTAATAAACATTAAGAGATCAGAAACAGAAAGATCCGGGCAAATACATTAATGTTTCTTCTTAAATTCCTTTTTTTAAAAAAGTAATTTTTAGGACGCCTGGGTGGCTCAGTCGGTTAGGCGGCCGACTGCGACTCAGGTCATGATCTCATGGTTTGTGGGTTCGAGCCCCGCGTTGGGCTCTGTGCTGACAGCTCAGAGCCTGGAGCCTATTTAAAATTCTGTGTCTCCCTCTCTCTGACCCTCCCCTGCTCATGCTCGCTCGCGCACTCTCTCTCTCTCAGAAATTAAAAAAAAACCATACCTAGGGATAAATTTAACCAAGGAGGTGAAAGACCTCTATTCGGAAAACTATAAAACATTGATGAAGAGGGGGCACCTGGGTGGCTCAGTCGGTTAAACGTCCAACTTTGGCTTAGGTCATGATCTCTCAGTCCGTAGGTTTGAGCCCCATGTTGGGCTCTGTGCTGACAGCTCGGAGCCTGGAGCCTGTTTCAGATTCTGTGTCTCCCTCTCTCTCTGCCCCTCCCCCACCTACTCTCGGTCTGTCTCAAAATAAAGTGAAGACAAAAAAATTTATAAAATAAAACATTGATGAAGGAAGTCAAAGACAACACAAATAAGTAGAAAGACATTTTGTGTTCATGGATTAGAATAATCAATACTGTTTTGTTTTTAAGTGTATTTC